TTAATGATCGTTTGGATCGTTTGGCTCGATTTCCGGACTCATCCGGAGCACAACCTGGTACACATTTTCGATTTGCAATATAAATAAATAAATAAAGATATATATATATTAATCCATCTAAAAAATAAAAAAATTAAACCCTTTAAATATAAAATCGACAAATTTGAACGATTATAGATATATCGAATAAATTATTACATATGGTCTACAACCATTAATTCCTTGAATAGCTGGTCCGAAATAAAGTTAGAAAATGTATAATAAAATTATCGTCCGTCACGAGTCTCCTGTACATTTTTACCAGTCATGTGAAAATAAGGTATATTCTTGATTTATTTCGAATTACCATTTATTTCATTTATTTTAATGAGTTTCATATATAAAAAATGAAATTTCAGTTGGCTATGTAGATCAAGTCAGTTAATAAATTATTAGATCCCAATTTTGGGTTAACTATGAAAAGTGTTCATATTTATCCCTTTTAAAGAATGATTCGATTTTTTGGTTAAAGAACAAATTGCATTACGTGCTTTTTTTCATGACCAGATCACATATTTGTGCTGGTAATACGTACAAGCCCCAAAATTGAAAAAAAAAACCAAAATCGGATAAATTTTTCTTTCTTGACAATCAACTATCCGAATTAAGTAAAAAAAAAATTTTATTTTAATTCTGTGGGTTCATAGAATTAAAATAAAAAAAATTGAATAGCTGGTTGTCGAGATCATTAAAAGTTAAAAAGAATTTGACCGCAGCTTCTTTTTTAAAGACATCAAAACTTCAGACATCCCGACGCAATTTACTTATTTGCGCCGGTAACACAAACCAAAAAAAGAAACTAAGTGCGTAAAAATAGAAAGTTTAGGATTAGGACGTTAGGTTGTGAGCTTTAGCAATAAGTTGGACTTTTTTATATGTAAAATTTCGTCCCGTTATTTTTTATTAGCCCAATAAGGTCGATTTAAACACTAGTTTTTGAGTATTTTCGCTTCTTTCGCACGTGTTCGGATTCTATGATCCATTTCCTTTTTAGGGACCCCGTTTTTTAATGGACCCTTTTTTTAGGAGTTCGTACTACAGCATTACCAGCATAAATAAGCCCCTTTGCCGGAATTTTCACCTTATTTTTTCTAAGATTTTTAACGGCTGCAAATTATTATTATTATTATTATTATTATTATTTATTTATTTTTTTTCTCCTAATGCGAGTAATTTTTTGACCTTGCTTTTTTTTTACTACCAAAAAAAAATTTAAATACGGTTTCTATTCTTGCGTGAATTAACGGCTGGATGTAATGATCTAACCGGCTGGGGCGAGCCTTCAGGTGAGGTGGCCTTTAGTTGAAGCGCAAGAATGTGATTTTTAATGCATTTTTTGTGTGGATTAACGGTTTGATGTGATGATTTAACCGGCTGGGGCGAAAGGGGCCTTAGTTGAAGCGCAAGAATGTGTTTTTTTTTTTTCTCATATTGGAGTATTATTATTATTATTATTATTATTATTATTATTATTATTATTTATTTATTTATTTATTTATTTATTTTTTGACCTTGCTTTTTTTTAATATCAAAAAAAAATTTAAATATGGTTTCTATTCTTGTGTGAATTAACGGCTGGATGTAATGATCTAACCGGCTGGGGCGAGCCTTCAGGTGAGGTGGCCTTTAGTTGAAGCACAAGAATTTGATCATTCTTGCGTGAATTAACGGCTGGATGTAATAATGTAACCGGCTGGGGCGAGCCTTCAGGTGAGGTGGCCTTTAGTTGAAGCGCAAGAATGTGATTTTTTTTTCTCATAATGGTCAGAGTATTTTTTTTTTTTTAATGTGAGTAATTATTTGGTCTTGCTTTTTTTTTTTAACTAAAATATATATATATATTTAAGTACGTAGTTTGGTTCTGCTTGATGTTTTCTTTTTTTTTTTTTTTAAGTAGAATAGTGAATTAGTTGGAATTAGTTGTGCTTTTGCCTTTTAACATGAACTAGAGTTTGAAATGAATTTTAATTTCGTAATCGGTTTTGACATATAAAAGAGTTCAGGTATGAGAATCCGAGCTTAATTATGGAGATTTTATTCTTCTCGTGTTCATTTAAAAAGCTTCATTATTCTTTATGCATTACGAAGAAAATCTATGAAATTAAATACTAAAGATGGGCCTATTGACCAACTAAAAATTTGGTTATTTTACTCAATGTAAATATTTTCTATTGCCTCTTTATATTTTCATTCATTATACATTATTATTGATTTTAACTATTTTATCATCCTATCATATAGTGAAGGAAAAGAAAAAACCAATAAATTGATTCACTACGGTACTATCATTACTTTTCGGAAGTCTTGAAAAATTTTTTTTCAAATTAATTGAATTTTACATTTTTATTAATATTTAGATGCAACAGACCTCAACAAAACACTACGTTAATGTTGTTAACTGGAAGACAACTGGAACTCCACTGGAACAAAATTAATAGTACTACTGAAACTTTACTATTACAAATTTCTACTAGAAGGCTGAGAATTTCTACTGGAAGCAAAATTAACAACACTGCACTACATAATAGCTCTGAATATGTCTCAAGTCCGGCTGATCATCTCATTTGAAAATTTCGAACCATATTGAGTCTTATAATTTGGATGAATTTTTTTTCGAAGGTTCAAAATGGCTGTGGAAGGGTAAATATGAATTTGGATCTGGTGAATGGATTGGTTTCGTGGTGGAAAAAAATTAGCTTTCTTTATGGTGCTTCTGGAAGAACGGTATGATTATATTTTTTATTCGTACAATAACGGAATAATCTTTTATAATTTATTTGTGCATGTTTAAAATTTATATAAAATTTATAATTTCTTAATATAAAGTCTATTAATTTTAGGTTATGACATTGTTAATAGGTGGACACGAGACTATAAATGTAACATTAACGGGCACTTTACTTTCTCGCAAAAAATCCTGAAATTCAAAATCGTCTTCGTAAATTGTCAGATGTATTTACTGTTCGTAATCATCAACTAGCTTTCGATGAAATTGAACATTTGAAATTTTTAGAATGTGTTTTAAAGGTAACTTTAAGGGTCATTCCACCTGGTTTAGTTCAAATATCTCTTTTTTATGCTAAATATTTAGGCAAAAACTGGGGGAAGTTAGAAGAGTTGGTGTTCGAGGACTTAAAGAAGGGGTTACAGAGTATGTTTTCTAATTGCGCAAATTTGTCCATTTTTATGGCCATTTATAAATTTCAATTATGATTTTTTTTTTAGATCTTTATCAAATTTGGTAAAACGAGGTGGAATATCAAAAGAAAAAGTTGCCGGATCTTTACATATCCACTAGATTTTTTACACCACCGTTATCAAAGTATTTTTGTTTTCTTTGCCTGATTACATATATGTTATTTTAAATAATAACAAGGCATTCTGTTTAGTGATCCTAAAGCGTATAACAAATCCAAATGGCTACACCATAACTAGGGCCTCCTTTAGGTTAAAAAAAAAATTTCAAATTGATTAAATTAATTGAATTTATTAATTCTACACTATATAATTTCGTATTATTTTTAATATTTAGATGTAACGATACACTATATAAGACGATTGATCAATAGGTAACAGATTCAAGTTCTTCCGATGGTGGATCATTCTACGACAGCAATACTGAAAATTCATGGTATCCACGAAGGTGGTATTCTTTAATAAATACAATGACATCAAATCACGAGAATTGTTGATATATCACAAGAGGTCAAAACCTTTACAACTTTTAAATTAGTTCGAAAGCAGGGTGTTCGTTCGTTACATATGTACATGAATGATATTTTTTATGATAAGGATATATACTTATAAATTAGTAATAAAACGGCGACGTTTTATAGGACTGGAGCCTTATGTATTAGGTTCAAATTGTGAAGTTAATACTGTAACGTATCTAACATTAATATAATAGATAATAAAATCCAATTCATTAATACGTATAAGACTAGAATGTGTTAATCATCAATATAATTTCAATTAATTAATATAAGGGTAGAATGTGTTAATTTAAGCAACAATTCTATATGTTTACATTAGTTAATACATATACAAACAGACGTAAGTAATTCATAAAGTCATAAAGAAAGTAATCTCCGTTCTTCTGTTGTAGACGTGTAAATGCGTGGCAGATCTTCAATTTTGATTGGCTAAAGCGATGATTAAAAAAATTAGGCCGTAATTTTACTAATGTTCCTGGGCCAAATTTACCATAATGCGGACTTATATTAAAAATTTCTATTTTTGTAATGAAAAAATTAGAAAGTTAATTCTGGCCGGAAATTAGTAAACAATTATGTAATGCGGGCCAAATTTTTGAAGATCTTCGGCCGTTAGCCAATCAATCTGCCGCCATTTTTTGTGTGGCACCTTGGTTCAATTTATAATAACAAGGTCGGTAAACTAAAAGTGTGAAGATTGCCATAAATGAGGTCAACCAAAATAATTTTGTTCGGCTGCAAGATAACTTTATAAATAATAGGATGAATTGCCTATGTAAATGGAACTACCAAAAAGTTATTTTGCAGATCAGTATAGTATAGGTGGGCAGATTAGTATTTTGTCAATGGCTTTGTGTAACTGATTATAAAAAATGAATTTGAACACATGATACACTAAAGAATGGACAAATTATGAAAAATACAGTATATCATTTACCCACCCGCATCTGGTCTTATTTAGATAAACCTCCATCGATTAAAACAACTTGAAGCCGTATCAATTTTATATTTTGTACATCTGAAATTTGAGATAACGATCAGTGTTTGCATTTGAACTATGTTAAAATTTGACCTCAGCTTTTACTCTTTCGATTTGGAACATTTCGGAACAGAAGCTTACGTGTTTGATTTGGACTATGTCCTATGAAAAAATATGGACAATATGGACATAGTCCATAAATGTCCATGTCCATTGGTCCATATTGTCCATGTCCATATTTTCTCTTCAATCTTTTGAAATGTTCGAATCAAGTTTGATCGTACTTATGAGATCTCTAAATTAGATAAAGCAACTGAGTAAATGTAGATAAGAAATAAATAAACGAAAAAAACGAAGCAAATTATCTACTTGTATTCATTTGCACGATATATTATATCTTGTTGTTGCAAACTGATATGTCGATGAGATTTCTAAATAAAATTGAAAAATTAAAAATGAATAAAGATAAAATAAACATCAGGGTAATGAAAGACATACTCTGCTGTTCGTTGACCGATTTTTTACAATGATTCTCGTTCTCTATCACGATCTGCCGCGGCATCGTAGCGTGGATACGCCATCCTCTGCATAAATTAGCTTTTACACGTTAAAATTCTTCAATTATTACAATTATTACTCAAAGTCCAACATTAACTCAACATAAGAATTTCCGTCATCAGATATGAGGCGGGATCGTTCGTTCAGCTATTTGACACGAAACTTTCGTTTTTTTGTAACATGTCACAGAGAAAACTACTTAGGCAAAGAATAACGACAATATGTTATAATTTACCTTTGAACCATCATCACCTTCGTCTTTACTGCAGCAACAACCCTTTTTTTTTTTGTTAACAGAGTACATGGTATAATAGAGAAAAAAAGATTTATGTTGTTGTCCAGTTCGGAAACAAGAAGTTAGTAAATGATTGATTAGGTAAAATTATCTAAGGCCTATTGTAATAATGTTATTTATTATCTTTTAATTTTTCAAACTCATGCGAATTACGTAAACGATTAGTACATAATTATTTGTTGTGCATGTTTACACAAGTATTACAAGTATTATATTACTTTCTTTTATACATCAAAAATTCATATTCAATATCACCATCCACTTGTCTACCCTTAGGAACATCATCACCAACAAAGTTTACCAATTCATCATGACTTGCTAATTCATATAAATTTTCGTCAATCTTTAGAAAGAAAGTGTCGCAATTAAAACTTTTATACACTTTAGTAATAAGAATATATTCACAAAGAGGTGATTCCATTGCTTCTTTATAGACATATCCACCACCAATTATAAAAATGCGTGAAATCGTAGGTTTGTCAACAAGATTAGCAACAGCTTCATCAAGAGATGAATAAATCACACACATATCGCTATATAAGCCAAATACAACATGTATTTATAAAAATGTTAAAAAAAAAATAATAAACATGTTTTGATAATACCTTTCAGGTTTTAAAGTTTTAGACAAAACAACATTTAATCGGTCTTTAAAAGGTCTAAGTTCAGGCGGAATAGTTTCCCAAGTTTTACGACCCATAATTAGGGCATTCTGAATTCTCTTGCAAGAAGTAGCAGGAGATGTATCAGTAATTTCATCTGACACTGACACTTTTTTAGTAACTCTTTCAAAGTACGACAATTCCTCTTTAATATCCCAAGGAAGTTCATTATTCATTGCGATCCCCCAGTTTTCTTCCACGGCTTATATATATATATATCTTATTATTATTATTATTTAATTGCGATATTGAGCGTAACGACAAAAATTATGGATAATGAAAAGGTAAAACATGATCTTACAAGCAAACAAAGAGAATTTTGATGGGTTTAACGAGAACATTATGTACTGTACACGCGAGAATATTTATTGGTACAATGGTCTTTTTTATAATAAATTTCCGGGCCTTTAATAGGATAACTTTCTCATGATGATTGATCACATGGAATTTATGATTTGCCAAAAAAAAAAAAAGGTTAGCAGGACAGATTTCTGGATTTTCCAAAATCATGTGTAACTAGAGCTTCGATCCTATTTTTGCAGGACTATCCGGATTCTCTTTCATGAAATAAAGCAAAATAATCATTCTAACAGCTCTTTACGGTTAATGTTAGAATGAGAACTTTGTATTATAAAATCATTCTAACATCTCTTTATGGTTAATATAGTTCAAATCCGGATAAATCCATCATCCGTATCTGAATTATCCGGATAATTCGGATCGCTCAGATATCAAAGGGATTCGAATAATTATCCGTATATCAAGTAAACGAATATCCTGAATAAATTCAGACCCTGATATCTGATAATTATCCGGATAAACGCTTAACAGATCGGAACTCTAATGGTTAGTGTTAGCGTGAGCAAGTTCATATTATAAATCATTTAAACAGCTCTTTATGAATAGCGTTAAGATAAGAAAGTTCGTATTATAAAATCATTCCAACGGCTCTTTATGGTTAATGTTATGATGAGAAAGTTGTCATTCTAGCAGCTCTTTATGGCTAGTGTTAGGATGAGAAAGTTCGTATTATAAAATTATTCTAACAGCCCTTTATGATTAGTGTTAGGATAAGAAAGTTCGTATTATAAAATTATTTAACAGCTCTTAGTGTTAGGATAAGAAAGTTTGTATTATAAAAATCATTCTAACAGCTCTTCATGTTAGTGTTAGGATGAGAAAATTCATATTATAAAATCATTCTGACAGCTCTTTAAAGTTAGAATTTAGTATTTTGATTATGGATGTTTGTATTAAATATTAAATTTCATAAAGTATCTTTTTTTTTTTTTTTGCCAATATACCAATCGCTAAGTTGATTTTTCGTTTTGCTTTACATGGATTTCAAAATCCCTGTCGGTCGGTCGGATTTTAATTTTTTCATTTATTTTTTTTTTTTACAGCTGTTATCATTATTCCTGGGACACCTGGCAAAAAATTAATCCGAATGATTATTCTGCCGATTCGATAAGTTATATATTTCGGAATAATAATAATAAGATTCAGTAACAAATATCGATATATCAAATACGTAATTTAATAAGATCAGGTGACTAATATATATTACAATAAGACTAAATATTGGCACACGCACTTGTAAGTTGTAAAATTTCAATCCTATTCTTTGGCACGATTCATTTTTGCTTAAATGAAGCCTTTATTCGCTTCTAATTATTTTTCGTCAAAAATTCGGTTTATAAAGTTGTATAAAATTTCAAATCCTATTCTTTGACAATATCCTATTCTTTGGCAAAATTTGTTTTCGTTCAAACAAAGCCTTTATTCATTTCTAATTATTTTCGACGAAAACTCGTTTTTAAAAAAATTGCGTAAAATTTCAATTCCTATTATCCATTTCATTCAAACGAAGTCTTTATTCATTTCTAATCCATTTTCGTTCAAACGAAGTCATTTATTTATTTCTAATTATTTTTCGTTTCTTGTCGAAGACAAAAAATATATAAACAAATATAAACATATAAAATTTTTACTTGGATTTTCATGTTCATATTTAACTTTTTTAATAGCGGCACCTGTTCGTGTAATATATTTGTTACAAAAGTCTAATTTATATT